TCGTTTAGAGGTTATGGTAGACTCATAATAGTATTTTATACAGTGGTATTGCATTGTTATAAAGTCGGTATAATGTATTGCCGGATTCAGAAAAAAAAACCTTTTGTTACAAACATAGTATACATATATCCGTCGTTGTCTCCGTCATTGGGATAAAGTGCGTGGTGTGCGGTATGTGTGTCTGTAAATATAATCGCGCATAAAAAAAACTTAAAAATTGATTGTGAAAAAAAAACTCGATAACCGCTAAATTAAAAATGAAATCCAATTTGTTGTGTAAAACCGCGTCACTTAGTTAACAGAGGGAAAAAACCGTAAAAGTTTATCTCCTAATCATTGTCGGGATGAATCTGAACACATCAAATCCATGAACACCGGGGTTTTTTTTTTTTATTGCATATGGCATGGTACCTATTAGTGTACAAAAGACAAACAAAATATTATAACAAAACGAAAATAAAAAGATACGGACACACATTTCGCCCGATGGGAGTGCCACTGCTGTAGGTGGAAAGTTAAAAAGGCAGGATAGCAGGATGCGTAGAGCTATTCAATTTACGTCGGTAAGCAAAGACAGGCCATTGTTAACGAAAAGAGATTCTGAGCGATTGTGCGTTTTTTTTTTTTGATTTTTAAAATATTTGTCAAAATTTAAATTTGAATGCCTAAATAACAAATAACTCGTATACATAACGTTTACATTTTTTTTTTCAACCACTTAATACAATTACAGTTACAATGATCCCTATGTTGAATTTCGAAGTATTTCTGTAGGACAAAAAAAAAATTGTATCCATATAAAACGCGTAAAAAAAAAACTAGAAATTTTAAAATAATTAAAAATAACACTAAAATATCCAGAATCTTTTGACATTTTCATCACGCTTAGAATATGCTAATGTAAGTATTCTGCGGAAATTTCGTGTCTTTACGATTACGTTGTAACAAAGAACCAAATCGAAAATAATGAAACTATTATTATTGCCGTACAAATGTTCCGTTTTTCCTGCGTTTTTTCCTCGTTATTAAGGAAACTGCGTGAAAAGTAAAAAATAAAACCTTCTTAATATAAATATGTTTTGTCACTAATAACATAAGTTATATATTATTTAAATATACTACTTAATGTATTTTGTTTAATTTTTATTCTTCATTGATTTCCACTTAAAAACTTAGTTGTATATTAACTGAAAAATGCAAATTTTATTCATTTCAGTTAACTTCAAAACTGGCTATTATACATGAACTTGATCGGTAATAAAATCAGTTATAGAAGAATATAAACACATTTAACTAAATAATATTAAATCAGACGAATGAAAATAAAATAACAATATTATAAAAACACATTTTACAACATCTTAAACAAAATAATAATGCATTTATATATTCTGAATCAAACTAGTCTATAGGAGCATTATATATTAGTTTGTTACTTGAGGACGTCATGTTTAACTTGTTTAATATAAAAAAATAAACTACTAATATTACTATTCAAATATGAATTTAAATAAACAATAATACTGTTATCGAAACACAAAATCGATGATAGTATAATAATGTGATAGCACATCATGAATACAATAAGTATAGGCATAGCAAAAACAAGACAGCTATACGGAGTTGTCTGGTTTTTCGTATAGGAAAACAAAAAATCGACAGAAAATCGAATAACGATTTGTTCTATTAGAAATCACAATAATGCGAATTTCGCCAAAAATAGAACAGGATGGTTATTGTACAGAGCCTTTCGAAAAAAAGTACTACTATACTTCTACTATATAGAACGCGAACCAATATAATAACGTACAATAATGTCAGATTAAATTTTATCTTTATAAATACTATCATAAATACACGTGGATATGTCTTCATAGTGCTGTTCGACGTCGTGAGTGTATCACCATAATATTAATAAAACAATTATCATGTCCAACAAAAGGAAGTATGAATAGAGAGTTCAGATTACACTGGGAAGACGAGTTCTTTTTCATAAAACGAAACAGTAAACCATTTTGTCTCATCTGTCAATCCCAACTATCACAATTTAAGTTGAGTAACTTAAAACGCCATTATGAAACAAATCGCAGTTCGGTTGGTAACGAATTCCCTACTGCTTCTGAGTTGAGGAAAAACAAAATTAAGCACAATGAAATTAAAATTAAATAAACAAAACGTCGGTATTTTCCAAGGAAACCGAAATAACTACTGAAGCGAGTTTTTGTATGGCGTTTAATATTGCTCGAGCAAAGCGCCCGTACACTGATGGGGTATATTTGACAAAAAAACATTTAAGTAAAAATTAGTAAAAATGTTTTGTATCTTACGATAAGATGCGAGAACCGCAGTTTTCCCACCCCTGTTATATAGTGATTCGGATAGGATTCGTTTTAAACATGAAAATGCGTACCTAAGTTTAGGAGTTTTTTTATTATTCATTCGTATAATATAGGTAACGACAAATTTTAATTTTGACTTTTCTGACCAAAAAAATATACAAATTTGAATTAAAAAAAAAAAAAAATCGACAGCCGTTTTTTCAATAAAATAGATATAGGTAGTGATAGCTATAGGTATTTAAAGAAAAAATGGCTATAGGCGGAAATATATCTTCCTATAATCCCCACCCGTGAAATACGCCGCTATAGAAAGTGATAAATACATTTTTAAGTTTGAAAAAACTTGACGAGCGAATTTTCAATAACTATAAAATTCTTAAAGATTTAAAGTTGGGTAAGTATAAAAGATATTCATTTATATTAATCGTAGAATTTTGTTTTTTAATAACATATCACCATATATAATATATTTACTGATTCGCATTGTTAGACATAATTGCACACAATAATATATTAATATATGCGCGTGTGAGAATTAATATTTAAAGCGCTGCTGCCACCGCCGCGGTGTAGGTAACCTTCAAAAGCATTCAATGACTCGTCAAAATAATTTATGTAAGTATATGTTCGTATGATACCATGCTAATAGTATATAATTTATAAAAATAAATGAGCACTTAAAATTCGCAAAAATCGCTTCAAAACACTTTAAAAATAATTTTTAAATAGCCAAAATAGTAAAATGGGTTTTATTAAAAGTATCCTTTCTAATGACTCCAAGTTAAAAAATAACATTTCTAAATACTACATAAATAATTGAGGAAAGTGAGTTTTTTTTATGAACATTTTTTTTAAAATAAAAACAATTTGTGTCTATCATTTTCTGTAGTATTATAGTATTGTATTGTTTAATAAATTATAGTAGTTACTATTAGATAAGGACTTTTAAAACGCCCTTTATCATTTTTGCTCTCTTAAAATATTTATTAGGTGGCTTTTAACGTTTTTGTGCAGTTTTTTGTGATTTTTAAATGTTGAAAGTCCCGATATTTGTTTATAAAGGATCAAAATACCGGAATATATCGGGAAAAAACCGGCATATATCACAGAAAAAAAAAAAATGGAAAATTCGAGAATAATTACATTATTAATCGTTTTTATCGATTATAGAACCTGAAGTGATGACGAATAATGGACGGAACAGATCTATAGAAAGTAGACAAAGGAGCACACGATTACCTTAAACTAATACCCCTCCCCCAAAGAAAAAAACAACATTTTCAGAGCTCTCGAACTCTTTTGTATACTAATATTATCATTAAAAGTTGAAAAAAAAATGTTTAAAATTTCTAGAAAATTATTAGTGTTTTTATTCAAATTAAAAATTTATTTTGTTCACTACACGGTATGTTCCAACTATCGTTTATTATCGATAAGGCCCAGATTTGTATGACATATTATAGACAGTACAAAAAGTAGCTAGATAAGCCACAAGTTTAAATTACAGTCAATAGAACTGAAATATAATGTTTTATTTTGCATATTTTATTATTTTTTAACATATCCTGCATAATTTTGTATATTACGATTTTTCATTTCAAATAAATTTATTTTAATTACATATATATATATATTATGCAATTAAAATAATAAATAATAAAATAATATTTTGGTTATATTTATATTAATTATATAATAAATAAATGTATATATTTTTTTTTGTTTCAATTTTGTTGTGTTCATAGTTTTATTTAAAAAAAATACATATATTTTATTTATTGCTTTTCAGTTTGTTAAATTTCGAAAATACCATAACAAATCAATATTTTATACCTACTTCAAAAATCAGGATAAAAATAATACAAATTTAAAAAAAAAAACCAATTTTTTTTGTGCGTATGTTTTATTTTAAAGGGTATATTACTACAAAATAACAGCATAAATGCATATTATACAGTGCATTTTTCTAAGGTTTTTAGAGTACATAAATCCGGGCTCTAATTATCAACCCTGAAAGATGTATTCATTATGCATACCATTAAAACCAGTGACGAATTTGAAGGAGGGCAAAGTTGTTTTTGCTCTCATTATCATTAATTTTTTTTTTTTCAAAATCGCTACTTGAATTTTGTAGGTTCTCATGGTGGTAATATGGGTGAGGGGTTCAGTGTCTGTTTGATATTGTGAACTTTTAACTATCCTCTCCTGAAAATTGTTAATCGATAATACCTGTGATACCATACGTCACCTCCTCTAAAACCATCTTCAAATTCGCCGCTGGTTAGGTACCTGCTACCTAACTACCGATTTAATAAGTAGTAGCTACCTTGGTTAAGTATAAAATATTTTTAAAATTACTCCACGCGTTTAATAGAAACAAAATAATATGTATGTTAAAAAAAAAGAAAAAAAAACGTCATACACAAACAAAGCAAACGTTTAGTTTTCTATAACTCGTGGATTTTAAGAGGACCTAAGATTCGCCGCAATGGCACAAATCTCAGGGGTGCTAAGAGTACTTAACGCCCTGAATTTTAATGTTAGCACCCTGAATCCCATGATTGTAGTGAAATTATCGTAATATTTCCATGAAAATTACGTTTATTAAAAGCTAGATATTATAAGGCATTCATTTATAAATTAATGCCTCTGTTATAACCGAGAATAGATAATGATTTTATAATGTATAAACCGACAAAATCGATAAGATAAAAATGCGCGTATCTAACTTGGAAAATATAGAACAAATAAAATATAGGTAAACGATAAAACAATTTTTAAAAAATACATCTTATTTTGTCGTACCTACGTCGGTTTTTATTGTGCAGTAGATCAGGCACACCGGGATTAGTCGTGCGAAAAAGAATCATGAAACGGCGTCCTCGTCGTCGACTGTATACGTGTTACAGCCGACGGCGGGGATTAAATTAAACGGTGGTATAATTTAATAATAACGCTGATGAAATACCGATTAGAAAAAAAAAAAAAAAATGATTAAATTAAACGAATTACCCGACGTTGCCTGCCGGTAAACACGGGTCGCACACGTGAAACGTGTAGTAATCGATATAGTAGGTATTATAGGTTTGTACAGGGTACGATACGGTGTGTTGGGTTGCTACCAGAGGCGCCAGGTATTGAAAATGTAATGGAGGGCTCAATATTTTATTAACACATGTACAGTTTACTTAAATCTTACCATAATATATTTCCTACATTAATAATAAACAGATTGACTGTGATAACAAAGTATGATAGAAGATTCACTGATTCACAAGATTCATTGATATCAAATCGTTATCATAACGTTAATACACCGTCATACTGTTAATCAGACACCAGTTGACCAAGAACCTGGTTGATTATCAAAATCTACACTTTTTCTCCGCTATCAAAATCAAAAAAAAAAAAAAAAAAAAAACATTTATCTTTCTCAGTTAATTTGTTATAAATAAAGGTTAAGTTAGGCGCATGAGGACCTAAATGATAAATAGTGATTTTGTTTTTGTTTTTGTAATATGAAAATTGTGAGAACTGAGCGCGGTTTTATCAAACTCATGAGAGCTAGAGCCCCAGAGCCCCCTTGTACTCGGCACCCCTAGTTGCCTAAGACGAATGTCATTTAAACGGGGATTAGGTGTATCTCGTACGATATTTATAGTTGACACGGTGCCCGTTCGAAACGTAAGTATCGATAACGCAATTATACGCTATTGCTGACCCGAAATAAAATTATCATCAAAATATAATTTGGTCATCGAAAGAAACACTAAAAATCGGCTTTATAGTTTTATTAAACACTTCATGGGTCGAACATTATTGTATTATTTCTGTGCTAGATCAGTGCTTACTACCTGTATTAAGAGATCACCTGTGTTAAGAGGCCACCAGTGTATTAAAAAAAAATGATTCTACGGGGACCTCTGTAAATTGAAAAAAGGTTATAGTATACGTGTCGTGTTTTTTCTCTTATAAAACACGTAAACAACCATAAATCACAAAAAAAATGACGTATTTTGTTTACAGTATTTAAACAATTTTGTAAATCTGAGGGAGTCTACACAAAATATGTGTCAGTAGTCAGTAGTGAGCAGAAATCCCTCACCTTTCGAGGTATTGTGCGCAATAAGTTACCGTATTTACTAATCGAAAGTGTTTTCCAATTCATTCCCTCCTCGCTCTCCGAAATACCTAGAGTAACGTCGCCACGTCGGCCGAAAATTGCTCGTCTTATAAAAGTTACTGCGTGAAAATCAAAGCATTTCGACTAACCCGAGCAGTATTTTCTGAAATGGGGAAAACAAAATACATTTGATTATCGTGAAACGTATTTTCTGAACGGTTTTTTGCTGGACTCAAAATCTAAAAGGCACTGTATAGACATTTCAAACACGCCATTTAATTACGAGAAATTATACAGTTCAGTTGATCGAAATCATTAAAAATATGAACGAATTACCACTGTAATATAACACAAACTCGTTTATTAATATATAAATAAAATAGAACAGAACTCGAGTCGAAATATCGAAAAAAAAAAAAACAAAAAAAAAAAGTTTTAAAATTGTTTTTATATTTTGAACACTGGCTTATTCGCGGCATTGAAAATATAATATTAATAGAACAGAACTCGAGTCGAAATATCGAAAAAAAAAAAAACAAAAAAAAAAAGTTTTAAAATTTTTTTTTTTTTTTTTTTTTTTTTCTGTAAGCATTCTGTCTCGTGTAATATTATATAATATTATATTATTATGCGCTCTATGGATGATCTATTTCGCGAAATTATAATTTATTGTATAATGCAGCCGATAGTAGACGTATTGCAAATATGTCCACACATGTCCGATGCAGTTAAATTGCCATTGCCGTATTGAATAATAACAATATTGTATTGCAAGGCTCACGACAAAAACTGAAGACAACAGAAAATTATCATTATCGTTTATTGCATCATCATATTGTTATTAAATAATAATAGCTGAATATTATGACACAGACAAAAAAAAAAAATGCAAATACAAAGTTCCTCGAAAACCGATATCTGTAATGATAAAATGCTATGTGTAATATATAGAATCAATGATAACGCCAATATTATTTAATAATAACGTTTACATTGTTGGCGGTACCTTTGATTTTAATGACATTTTATTGGAACTTGCGTGCGATCGAATATCGTAACATATTATAAACCGGTGCGGTGTCTAAAAAACTGGAAACCTTACGGGAGGGTGGAGTGGTGACCAAATTATTCATGCCGGGAGATTAATATTTATCCAAGCCGCCCAATAAAATACGCAACTACCAAACGAAATGCGTTCCTTTTTTTTTAATTTTAGCCAATGAGGCGCAGGGCCGGAAATAGGAAATATTAGTGGGAGGGGGGTAGAGGGGTGTAATAGTGTAGATGACGACTTGAAAACTCGATTTTGCCGACTTCAAAAGGACCGGCGCTAGGAATTGTTGATGGAGTGTACACATACAAATTATTTGTCGGCTTTTTTTTTATAATTACAAATTTTATTTGAACCAATATCATACAACATTTTAGATATATAAATAATTTACTAGTCGAATGAACGAAATTAAAAACAAATACTCATTGAATACATATAAATAATACTATGAAAACGGCATTTAAAAAAATTAATAAAATCATGAAAATAACTGAATTTAATTAATAAATAGTCAACAAATTAAATTAGGATCAGTCTTTTTTTTTTTAGCAGTGACCATGATTTTACTGAACTTTGTAAATCCAAACTGTCCAAAATGTCTTTATTGCTATAAAGTTTCATTAAGTTTTGAAGACGATCTGCTCCCAAAGTTGATCGTAAATAATTTTTAATGATTTTCAATTTGCTGAAAGCGCGTTCGTTATTGGTGTTGTGAATATCAGTCTACGTAGTTTGTTAGCAGTTGGCAAGCAGGTCTTGTAATCTTCAGACAATTTAAATATTTGAATCAAACTGTCCAATTCGTGCATTGATAGTCCAAAACTTTAGTCAACTTTTCATAATTGCCGACTATGAATACTTTTTTCACTGGTGGGGGGTATCACACCCTCCCAGAATCTCCCCCCCCTATTTTCTGCACTGATGTGGTGGAGCCAGGATTTTGAATGGAGCCGAATACGTTTTCACTTGATACGTGTGCGAAGATAAGAGGAGGCGGGGAGAGTTTCGACCTCCCGAAAAATTTAAAAAAGCGATTATATCAATATACATTAATATACTTTTATATGCTGGTAATATACTTTAAACAGAAATGTATACATTAAAAACTTAATAGGTAGTAAAATAAGAATACAATATGTTCCGTGGCAATCATTTTTACTGCGTTTCTAAATAATCCGAGAAAGTCAAATACTATAATATATGAATAGCAGGCCACCAAGCGAAACGGAAAATTTTAATTTCCAGAATGGTCACTCCACCTGCGTGATGAGTACGAAAACAAAATGGTATTCATAATGAGCGGAAAAAAACCGGGGAAAATCATAGGGAAACGGGGACAATTTACGAAACGTATTATTTTCAAAGTAAAAAGTTTAAAATTAAATATCGTTAATTGAAGGCCGCGACGCCTTTCTAAACACGTATAACCGAATTCCGCTCAGAATCGTTTTTCGTTAGCAAAAATGAATCGTTGCGTATAATAATAATAATTTTTTATTATGGAAATTATTCCAATAATACAATATATAATATATAATGTGACAGTCAATGCAAAATGTAACAATACTATAATAATATAAATAAATTATAAAATTTAAAATAACTTAACTTAAAACCAATACATAGATATAGGTGTACAATAAATTCCCATTTGTATCCTTTCTTCCCAACATTTCACCTACAACAGTGGTCCACCATGGTACTAAATATGTCCGTATATTTGTATTTTTGTTTGTTATATTTTATTTGTCTTTTGTACACCAACAAGTACCATATGACACATGCAATAAAAAAGGCAGTGCGTTTATGGATTCCGGGTGTCCTGGTTCAACCCGACATTTGTGAAACAAACTTTTGTGGTTTATCTCCCTCTGTTATCTTAGCAACGCGGTTTTACACGACAAATTGGATTTTATTTTCAATCAGAAGTCCGATATGAGCGAGCGAATGGAGATGCCGAAGATTCTGAGGCGAAATAATTTTACTATTACTGACTATTATTATGATACCGCGATATTTCAACGGGCTATTTCAATAATGTGCTGTTATTATGAGTCGGGCAAATCAGAAATTGTATTTTATTCGTGAAATTCAAACCGGTCAATAATAGCAGCGTATTCGGACACATATGCTGAGCCAATTGATATTTTGTTAATATGCTGTCGGTTCACACCGCCGTACGACCGTAGTTAATACGAAGAGCCTTTTAGCTTATAGTTATTAAGTTGGTGCGGTATTGACGATAACAATCATATAATATGTCATATTTTTCCGATGTTACACAAAATACAAATAAAAAAGTGAACACAGTAAATAACGTTATATTTTATAATTGTTTATTGACCATCAGACTCTTGAGTCGCGTGTTGCAACCAGCACACCTTTCCGGACCATCTACCTCTTTTGGATTTCATGTTTTTCCCGTGCTGTTCGGGTGAGATCCATAGTGAATTAGTCCCGGCGACGCACTTAGACCGAGATTTTCGTAAGAGAGGTTAAAACTTGCAAATTAGGTGACAGGTTTTTAGGTGACATAAAGCCAACCACCTCCGAAAATTGTGTGTTGGGTAAAACGATAAGGAGGTACCTCCAATAAATAATTATCCATTAATTGAACCGGTTGAATGTTGAGCAGAATTGACCGAAATCATCGTATCAACGACATTGTAAGTTGATTAGGTTTGTTTTCCGGAAAAAACATCCACAACTATATATTGAAGTAAAATCACAGCCTTTTATTCGAGGACGAATCAAATTTTAATTTGGTATTTTTTTATACGTTTGTACGTATACAGTATACTACGTATAATTCGCGTTTTCACTGTCCAGAATAATATATTAAACCTGAATTAATAGTAAACCAGAGTTTGTATTCGTCTAAATCATCGACTAAATTACAATGCAGTATTAAAGATAATCCCGGTTCACGATGTGACCTGCAGTATTTAACGATTAAAAACGCAAATCGACGCACGGGTTTAAATAACCTAATTTATGGACATTCGTGGTATATAACGTTTTGATTTTTAGTGAATTTTGCATAGCCTAAAATAATTATTTTTTCAGTATTAGTGAAATCCTATAAAACAAATTGGATTAGATCAACGAATCGAAACAAATTTTCTCTTCATCACCTTTGACTCTTGAGTAACAAATACCGAATTTTTATTTTTATTTTACTTATATTGGTCTTTTCTAAATGTTTTCAATTTTTAAAACATTTTAGCTATTTTTGAGCTCTTATATTAGATATTTTAATTTTGAGAGTTTTTTATGTAATTTTTATTTGATAAGCACTCTGCGGATAAAATTGTTTGCCAAACAGAACTGTTTGAACATTTAACAAAGGATTCATTGTAAATCGTAATTTGTGGTCATAAAAAAAATTAAGTGTATTGTAGAATTTTTTTATGCGAATTTTAGTACTTAACAAATTTTTACGAAAATCGTAAATATTATAGCTTTTCAAACATGTATAACCGAACTCTACTCAGAATCGTTTTTCGTTAGCAAAGGTTAATTTTTGCGTACAGATATATGTTAAATTCCCCTACATATCTTACCTTCCCAACTTCTCATCAACGACAGTGGCTCACCCGTTATGCGAAATATGTTCGTATTTTTTTATTTTTTTATATTCTGAGTGAAATAAATGTTTTCTATGGTGTTTTTTTTTTTTTTTTTACCAGAAATATGTCAAGAGATTTTACGGCTGGATTTTGAATCTAATTGATAATAAAAAATATAATTAATTTTTTGATTTTCTTAGCAGATTTATATAATAATATTAGAAAAAACTGAAGAATATACGTATACACGCCATTAACAGTCTTATTATTTTAAATGTTTTCCAATTTTATTTTCTACCAGAAATATTTCTCCTAATTTCAATTATAGGCACCTTTTTTTAAAAGAGAATGCTGTCTAATTAGTCAGTATAAAAGCCATTTCTTAATATTTTGTACAGTTATATGATATTATAATATAATAATGGTATTGTTGAATCATTAGTTCCCTTTTAAGATTAGGTTTTTCAAAAAATCATATTGTCAACAACCCGTTAACACTCATCAGTTATTAAAAATAGTCCCGAAAAACGGATCTTTTGCACCGTGGGGCAATAATTTGTTTAAATATTACATATTTTAGATAGATACTTAATTCTGTACTTATAATGGTTGCAATAATTTATCATTTAGCGACTACCTATTCCATATTCTACCTGTACCCCATACCTATACTTAATATTTACTGAAATTCTAACCAATCAATTTTATCAATTTTACATCAGTACTTGGAAGGAAGGATTCAAAGAAAATTTTTCCTTCGACTTAGTTCAATTTACAGGAAATATTTTGAATGGATCCGTAAAGGAAAGTATTGACATTTTGTCAATTTGAAGAAACACGAAAGTTTTCTTTTCGTTATTTTTTTCTTTTATAAATTTACTTAATTTAAAAATTTTTAGATTCTGTTTAAACTGATTTGTATGCTTATTTTTTTTAAAAACTGTGTTTAAAAAAATAATAAATTTGATTGTTTTATACATCAAATTATTTATAAATCCTTTCACCCGGTAATTACATTATTTTTTCTTCATGAACAGTTGATTTTTAATACCAGGATATTGAGCAATTGGTACTTCTTGCTTTCTGTTACTAAATATATTGTTGCTTAATGTATATTACGTTGGAACTTTAATGAATTATATTGTTTTAGACAAATTATCTCGAGTATAGAGTTCAAACAATACCATAAGGGTGGTATTTTCATAATTTCGATTCTTTCATAATCATTTTGCTCATTCACTCGCTGTCCATTTTCTAAATGTCCATCTTGGTGGACAACTGACGGAAAACGTTCAAGGATTTTTAATTAACTTATAGAATCGAAAAAGGGCTTAATATTTTCTCCGAGAATACTTAATGATTTAAAAAAAAAACTGCGTTACGATTGGACGATTTTCAAGTCCTGGAGATACGCCCTATCATACTTATAGTAAAGAAATAAAAACAAGGACAAGAAAATCTGTGTAACATTTAGGTCTGTATTATATACTTATAAAGCGATTACAAGGCTCAAGCAGAAGACTGGCGTCGGAAAATCGACTATGACCCGTCAAACGAGATTATAGGGTCATTTAAAAATAATGTTCTTTGCCGGATTTTCAATTCTCGAAATTGTATTTACGCAGCCGAATATGAAAATAAGTATAAATAAACGGGTCATTATATATTTGCCCGGGTGCTTCGTAAATTCTTCAATAGCTATATAGTTATAGCCGGCGGTTTTATAGGATAGAAGAAAATCGCACAACCCCGAAAATAAATACTGAAAATAAAATTCCACCGCAGTTCTGCGGAGCGATCGTATAAATCGATTAAGCTACGATAACTATGTTTCGGTTTTTCGTTGTCAGTTGCACAGAGGAGACGTCGTGACTTTAAGATTAGAGGATCAAATAAGATACATACGAGAAAATTGTAAAAATTTGTTTAGGACGTATATATGTTGTATTATAAAACGGTAAGAGTGGAAGATAACAACCGAGAAATATTGTTTACGATCCCGGGAAATTAAAAAAAAAAAAAAATTGTGCAAAAGTGACGTAAATAAGATTGCGTCGGACAAAGCGAAATAAAATCTACCTGCATAGAAATTTGCAGGTCGATCAATAGACCGAACATTCGACGCTCGGCGTGTTTCGTCGGTATTGGCTTACTCGCGAGAAAGATACGGTATGATAATAACAATATATTGAAAAAGATCCGAAGGAACGAGACCGGATATAACACTGAAGCCGGCCGAAACGGACACTGGATGAGCAGAGAGCGCTAGTTTCACTTTTGTCACCGACAGAAATTCAGATATGATTCAAAACTGACTCATGATCTGATAATCATGTTTGATCGGTTTACAGACTTGCGTAAGTTTCCCTATACTTTAATAATAAATTTCGGGAGTAACATCTTACTATCAACTCACTTGTCATGTCACTCGTTATGTTACTTTATTGGGCACTGTCCTTAAAATGGCATCGTTTGAATATTTACTCTGTATTTATATGTACAACCAATGCACAACTGACAAGACGATGTACGTCGTCATTAACGCACTCTCGATGTTTTTCATGGTCAACGTCATTTTAATTGCGTAGATTGTAGGTATATGTTGATCGACGTGACATAAAATTAGAAAATTGTTTTCTTACCTGCGGCGCTAAATATCTAAATATGTCTCTGATTGAAATAGTGTTATACTTTCATAATCGTGGAATTAGAAGGAGAAGCAGATTAGGAAAATTGATAATGTAGTCGGATTACTGCAGTTTGTTATTCATGCGGGTAAACGTTTATGTTTTTTTTTTTTTTTTTTTTTTTTTTTACTGCATTGGGTCTTGTAGTGAAACGAAGTATGATAATATTGTTTAATAAAAAAAAAAAACGTTCTGGGATAATGGAGATGGGTGCAGCTACTGTTACAGACAATTTAATGTGTACCAGTAAGTAACGATAAACCATTGCTTACAAAAAACTGATTCTGAGAAGAGTTCAGTTGTTAGTGATGCTTTATCAACAATATATATATGCCATAATATTATAATGAAATAATTTTACAGTCATTATATATTTTCTTTAACGATATTTGTTTAATACTGTACCGGTTTTCTCGTTTTTTCTACGTTTTTCTCGGTTTCCCCATGTCTATTCCCGGTTCATTTTAGAAAAAAGGTCTACACCGCATACATCAGAGTAAACTTTCTCGTATAAAAAGTACTTATTTAAAATAAAAGAAATACAAATCTTTATAAAACCAATACATTCTTCGCTACACTTATAATCTAAAACGCTAATAACTTCTTCGCATTAGTTGTAAGTCAGAATCTTAAATAGCAAAACAAAATTGGAATTATTTATCTCTAAATATGAATAATAATAAATTATAAGTGAAAACGTTACGAAATTAAACGTACATATTAGCATTCTTTTTTTCGAAGTAAAAATGTTATTCAAGACTGAATTAACTAAGAAAATGGATAAAAAAAAAAAAAAATCCTATTATTAATATCCGATAATACCACAACTTATGACATACCGAAGTTATCTGTTGTGGCTGATTTGAAAAGTACAATTAGTGTTGGATGTGTAGACGATTATAATATAGTGTTTAAATGAATTACCGGTTGTTCGGAAACGTAATATTATATTTAAAAAATAAAAACCAAGGGAAATAATATATATATATATATATATATATATATATATAATGTAACTGATGTTAAATAAAGATAACGTACATAGTTGTGCGGTTTATTTATTATATTTAATATTTTCCTGCAATTATTCTATTATTACTCTAAAAATTATAATTCTGCAGTTTGTGTATGGTATCGTGCTGTATTATAATAATAATGTTTGAATATTACTTATATTGATTGCTTAGTCATTACAGATAACTTCGAAGATATTTCGTAATACTACGATTTATTTGTTCAACCGCGGTTATTTCTAGCGAGTTTGCTAATCGATAAAAATATTAATAGTACAAAAAAAGAAAGTACCTTTATATTAACCTTGAACCTAAAATTATTCAAACTTAACGACCCATATCGTGCGTTCTTAATTAAAAAAAAAAAAGCAGGTAAAATACCACAATATTACAAGTAAATAAACACAAATTTTACAACAAACATTGTATCAAATGTAAACAATACATTGTATTGTTTAAATAATTTTAAATTTATGTACCTAATCAAATTAAAAACAATTATAATTTAAACATGTTATATAGGTTACTAGATTACCTACTGCAGGGCTCCGAAAAATTCGGCGAGTCCTAATTTTACAGACGAAAGAACAAAAGTTAGACAATTTTGAACGGCCACCACCCCCTCACCACAGATTTTGTTCATCACTATAACGAAGTGTACTTTTAGTGAAATTTGTTGACGATAGCTCAACCCTTTCATGTGCCACGAAATGGTTGAAACATGACTAAAATTTGACCGTTTTTCGAATTTATTTAAAAACCTGTAGCGTTCACATTAAAACGTTAATTTCCGTGACTATTGTTCCGGAATAGATTCGGGCATATTATAGCGAATCAATCAAGCGTATACCAAGCGAAATAAACGTTACTCCTGTGATGTTCGCAACATGTTGCCAAATAAAATACAAATGACTTGCAATCGATTTTGTTCACTTATTATAAACTACAATAATATTATAAAATATCATATTCCGTACTATTTCAATGCATTTCGAAGCCGCATATTTCCAAACAATTAAACTGATACTTTCCCGAGTAGGTACTGAACTAATATGCGGCTACGACGATCACCTCAACCGAGAATTGCGGAGATAAGCACAAAACGCAAGGCTGCTTTAAGGCTATACAAATATATATATATATATTTGGTTTTTAATTTATCAGTCAAATTCGAGATATTTTATTCATAAATCGTATGTATGAGTACAGTAGATAGTATACACCGCCTTGATTGTGTCGTGTTCATTATATATCATAGTCCGGTATATAACTACTCGCCTGTCCGCAAATGACACGAAAAAGGTCTTGACCACAAATGTACCGACCAACACCGAAACGTAATATTATTGTCGACGCGTCCAGAAAGGCTAAAAGATTCGACATTTTTTGTTGTTATTATTCTTGTCAAGGATCCAAATACGTGCCGACGTACCGATATAATAACGCCGAATACGCGGACGAACACAACACATTAATTAAAATTACGAAAAATTCGGATGTACACGATGACGTGTGGCCGTACTATACCTATATACCGCTTACATACCGTTTTTTTTTTTTTTTGTCGTTGTATTGTACAATAGTATTTTCGGTTAATTATTGCAATTTCCTATGTAGTAATTATTACCGATTTGAATATACAAGCGAAAACGGGAATTTTATTGTATACACTACACAGCAATGAATTCGGTATTTGTGTACGATAATACCTACACGAAATCAATTATTATCTTTTTTAATTATTTTGTTTTCGTTTTTCGCAGGACGTCAGAAATAATATATATCGATGGATATGAAATTGTTTTGTTTGTTTTTTGTTATTAGTGTGTATGTTTACTTTAATTTAAGATTCTTGATAATTATTTCAATACTATTGAACGCAGTTCGGAAATCAATAATGGCGCGGAAATCGTCTGTAAACCGTTTCATTTAATATCAATCAGAACGACGACAATGATACATTTATTTATTAGCCTCTTTAAAAACGTATTTTTGTTTTCTGTCTTATCGCGTACTTGTTAGTGTTATTGCCGTTTATTATTGCAGTATGCGAAATTATAATAATAATAAATGATTTACAATATAACAGCAGCTGGCGCATTAATTATAATTATTGAAAAGACTAATACAATATTTTTTCAGTGCACTGCCATGACGAGATCCGCGATTTAAAACTCCAGAATACTCTCAACGATTATCAAGTACGTACCTATATGCAACGTGTGCAATTTTTATACTTGTACGTATGTACCTGTTGGATTAAATACTTAATACTTATTGCACTTAACGAGTCGTATGTTTTTGAAAGATAAAATTCTTCAGAAGAATATTTACGCGTCCACAGTAAATTTGGGATCGGGAATGTATACGAACGCAAGGAAAACAATGGGATCGAAAATACATTTAAACGACCAAATATCCAAAGTTTTTGAAGTCTAAAATACATAGAGTATAGGGCGGTCAGTAATCGAATTGGAGAGAGGGCAAATGAGGACGTACTCTGGTTTGAATTTAGAAACCATCGTTGCATCCCAGATACACAATTACAATGAAGATTTCGTCCTCTACACCTCCTACACATTATATGAATGATAATTAATTAATTTCGTAATAAAAAAAAAAATGTTTTTAATAACATTATAACGTTATTAATAACATTGTTGAAATATTTTTCAAATCTACCTTGTCAAAAAAGAAACGCACAAATAAGTAAAATTGTAGGTTTATCTCAGACTTTTAAAATAAATAAAACAAATAAAGATAGACGCTTCCAACAAAAACATTCCAAGCGTTCCTGGCGGTTAGTTGAATGAAATGGTACGCCAAAAATGTATAATAAATGAAAGGGGACTTCGAATACCTGCTCTCCCCCTCCCCGATCCGAGTACTGCTGGCGGGAAAAAGGATAAACCAAATTAGACAAAAACAAAAAACATAGCGGATACTTCGTACTAGCGGTGGATATATCGGATAAATAAGGACCTGGAATGTATGGATGTAACTGACGAGAATCGAAGGTTCCGGATGACCGTGAACATTGGTAACAATTGGCAGAAATAGCCAAAGGCCTTCGTAGGTTTCCTAAACGGCTGCAAGTCACCACTGAGTCACTACTCATTTTCCGAAGGAATTTTCGATTGTTGCCCTGCCAGGTTGAGAAACACGCGCAAGCCGTTAAAAATGATTTTTTGATTTACGTAACCTTTTGTTTAATCCGAAACAAAATGACCACACACAAGTATATATTTTGTATTCACGCGAGTCGTCACGGAAGTATAATTATGTGTACAATGAGGCATGACAAAACCAAAGAAAAAAAAAACACCGAACGACTGTATATATACGAGCAGTTGAAATTAACATACATTATTTTATTAATTTAATCGCAGCGCTTATCGTATGAAATGACAGTAAATATATAGGTAACTGCCAAAAGACGTATGAAATATATTATGAAAATGATAGCTTTATTATGGATAGTATACATGGTGTATTAAAAAAAAAAAAATAAATAAAACAATACTTAATTTTAAGATTAACGTCGACTTTGTTATATCTAATAATTTTATGGCCGGGATGACATTGACAAAAAAAAAAACACTGTTTCCGCAAATAACATGTTACTAAATTTGACTACATAAATAAGTCGTTACTTGATTTTATAGATATTTCGTTTGCGTACCATGCACGTTTTGTAACTAAAAACTAATCGTTGCCGATAAAACGGACAGATCGCGCCGAATAATAATCAAGACTTTCGAGATAGCACATCAAATGAAAATGTCAACATTCGAATATTTACTTGAACTAGACCTCCGTGGAATTTCAATTATGTACGAAAAGCGTTTCTTTTTCCTCGTCTCTAGATTTCATACCCTAAAATAAAGGTGACAAAATAGCGGTAATGTATCATTTTATAGCTGCTTAAATGCCTAATGCTTCTAATGAAAAAAAGTCAAGAATTGATCATATTGTAAAAAAAAAAAAAAAAAAAAAAAAACAATAATTATAAGAATAATAAACTAAAAATTGTATGTACCCATGTGCAAGACAAATAAATAAATATATCCTTGAGCATTATAAAAGTTGTGTGTAAACACGACCGGTTTCGATTTAAAAATCATCAGATAATAGAACACCGAAGACGAAAGAATAACACGCAACTGTATAATATATTATAATATATTTTATTATTATTTTATCCACTTTGTATTTATATTTGTTTATATTTAATACTAGCAGACCCGGAAATGCCGGTCGATACTGGATAGATAATAGCCAGTGTAAATAACAATAATACTAATTATCATAATTGTAATTATATTAGAGGGATCTCTATTATTTTTTGAAAATGAAATACAGCCCGTGTTACTCGGCACTCGCCGATAACGTACAGCTTTTTATAAGTGAAAGAAATTTTAAATTCGGTTAAGTAGTTTTCGAGTTAATCCATTACAAACGTACAAACAAATCTTTTCTCTTTATGATATTTTTTCAGTATATTTAGATTCCTATATACTTCTTTCAATTGTTCTTCCGACCACGGACTACGCATTGTTTCACTAACCGTACGCTGCTAAATCGTCCACATTTTTTTTGAACCGCATAACCGTAAACCTTGTCTTGTCCTCCGTCGGCGCGTAAATTACTTTCTCCCTAATCTCGATTTTCCCAAAAAGAAAATCCCGAAAAACTAAATACTCTCCGAGAAATAACGCATGTGTATGTTACGGAGAAAATCGACCGCCCAGTAATATGTGACGATTTATTCTAACGCGGAAGAGAATATTAATTATCTCGTCCTTAAAGTTGTTTGACAAACACACTAGTTTTTCGCTGTTTGTAGAATTGTTTTACATATTCGACCGGACGGATAATTATAATATGACGCGTTATTTGTGTTTTTTCAGATTCAGAGTATAATGATGAAGCTGTTATAGTTTTCAAAGGTTTGGAGCTGTTTTCTCGATAAACGGCTACTAAAAATGGTCTAATTTGTTCGTGCCATTAACATACGGTTTTCTCGCCCGAGGAGGTTACTTTATTTGAAAGGTTTATCGAAATTTCTATCAGTTCACCCATATAGGTCCATTTTTTTTTTTTTTTTCGTTATTTGAGTTTTGTCGATTTTTGGGTTACCTTGGCGTTTTGTCAACAAGAAAAAACACACGACTAACAATAATAATTTCCGCGCAGAACCATTTTTTTTCGTTTACAATACTTTATCGTTGCATACATTATGTAAACTAAATAATATTACGCTGTAAATCCTATAGCTTCCTTTTTTGATAACTACCCACCTACAAAAGCGACCTACCCGTGAGCAATTATGTCTGTAGTATAGACTTTTTATAATTTTTATGTAGGTATTTATCGTGTTTTGAGATTTGAACTGTAATAAACAACCGATTATTTTGAGTGAGCAAAAAAAAATAATAAAATGTAAACGACTAAAAACAGTATCTACCGGCGCGCTGAAAATATTACGTTACAATATTTTTTCAACTCGTGTTATACGAATGTTATACAAATATTTACTCCAAGCTGGAAAATATCTGACAAACGCCGTGTACACGCACAATGAAACCAAACGCTAAACTGTTTAAACACGCCGCAGTATTTTTTTTTCTTTTATATACACGACCTACCTTAAGGAACATCGATTAAAAACGTTCGTTTTTATGCATTTTGAATATTTTAAGAGCGGATATTGTTTATTTCATAAAGAATTGGCAGTAAATCGTGTTATTAAATGCACGGATCGAATGCGAACGCTGAAACGAACGTAGACGTGCGTACAATAGCTATAAATACAACCGTACGTTTACACGACCGTGTTTCAAGTGTTTTTTTTTTAAACTAATTCCGACTTGAAGAAAACAACTGCAGTCGTAATCGTCATCGGTATTATATTGACCGACTTAATTTTTCACATTCACGACGATACACACTATTACAATAATGCACGGGTGCCTACGATTTAAAAACGATTTTGTTATTCCAAAATATTACTAACATTCGTAAGTATATTCGTTAGAGGGGCTAATACACAGGGAGGCTATAGCTTCCATTTAGCATAATATATAGATACTTTAGTAAATAGAACTTTTGCGAAATTATTTAAATTATAAATTATGTTGATAATACATTTTTAACGAACAATGTGAAAAGTGAACGTTTTCATGGGCCTTCCTCTTTATTTTATTTCTAGGTATGACCCTGTTTGTGTTAGCACATACATTTGGAATTTGTTTCCATAGTTATCCGTTTCTATATAATTTATATCGGTCAACAGGAAATTATCGGATTTTCAATATTTTACGTAATTTGAAAGTATTTGTATGGAATCATCACAGAAATGACAATATCATGATAAATTCATTCTAGAAGACATAAACTAATCATAGCAGAAAAAAAAAATATATATTGACAATTTCACATAAATAACCTATTATACCCCGTTTTTTTTTTTATTTCGCTCAAACCACGCGTCTCTGAAAAAAAGCCCCTCTCAAAAATATTAATTGCGTCTATTGTTCGCCGAGACAACCACAGCCAGCGGTTGACTAAACGATTATCTGCCTTAGAAAAGATAAAAAATATATCTGTCTAAATGAATTTATCAAGATAAAAAAATAACACTGCTCGTAAACCTAACACCAACCACTGCAACGTTAAATCGCTGATAATTTTGAACAAACAATTTGATATTGTATATTATAATCTTACTTGTACACCATTCAATATTATTACACAATCAAGTCTTAAATATACGAGAATATTTAGTAATATCTGCAGGCGGGGAAACGGTGTTTTTAGATTCTGAGCGCAGCGAAAGAATGTGAATATTTATTATGCGATTTTCTTTCAAGCAAATTTTTTTTACTAGAAAAAAATAACAGTTTGTGCCCTTAATGGTCTTGACCTCCGCGCGCAGTGGCGTAACTAGAACTCCTAATGCCCGTGGCAAAATATCCCACCGCGTATAGAGCGCTGCGGTAGTACTCGAAATAAAACTTGAAAAAAAAAAAATACTACGTTGGATTTTTGTCTAAAATATTTTGAATATTTAGCGAAAAGTCCAAGTTTTGAGCAAAATAAAAAAAAAATAAAAAAATAAAAGGTCACTGATGTCTATTTTCATACGCGTGTCGTGTTATATACTTATAAATTAACCGTACAACGGGCATCGCCTGTTTTTTTTATTAACGACTGTCCGTTCTCCGAGAAATACTCCGTGCCCCGATTCGGGGCTCCTAAACGTCACGGGCTCATAGTCGCCCGTCACGCAGTGGCGGTTATACACGATGTTCAAGGACGGTGGTGGGGGGGGAATTAAACCCTACCCCTACACCGCCCCATAACGTTTCATACGTATAGTATAAAACATACATACGGGTTATTGATACAATAATGTTTACACATTAATAACACACTTCAATAATAATGTATATTAATAGAAATATGTACATAATCGATACATATATACATATAAAATAACTTGTCCTTACCGATTCAACGTCGTCTAGCCCAGACTACTGGACGGATCGGATGTTTGACGTAGGCATCCGCTAAGAAATTATTGCTGAAAATTCAATCCCTAAGGGGGCAAAACAAGGGGTTTTAGGCGTATTTGATACGGATATCTGATTGCTAATTTATTTATTTTCGTTTGTTCAAGGGTTGCCTTGGTGATACGGATGATAATTTGGCTGTCACGCGTAAGAAGAGTACAGTAATTGTGATCATTACAATTATTTACGCTGTTCAAATTTCACAATCGAACACTTTTACTACTTTTGGTCCGCCGAAGGCGTACCGCCCACACTCTCCGTCTAAATATTCTCGTTCAAAAAACAACAAACGAATATGGGTAAAAAAAAAAAAAAAAAAATATAACGCAAATCGGCACGGGCAACTAGTGTGTACTGTAAACGTATTATTCTTATAATAATTACAACGAAAGCCCGCGTGCCTTTTTCTTTATTTTTTTTTTTTTTTTTTACTCGGCAAAGCGTGTAATAATATTATCTACGTCGACATTCGAGTCCCTGCGGACGTACGTGGAACTGCGCTAGCCCATTAAATCGGTCTCCGCTAGTCGTTGACCTGGAATCACGTCCGCGATCTAAATAGATAACAGCGAATCGCGCCTTGCACAGTAGCAATTAGCAGAGCAGCGACGTATTATCGGCATATTGAAACGTTAACCGAGACGACAGCGGCGCGTACCATCTGACGGCGATATTGCGCATCGCACTATCGCCGCGGTCCGCGGATGTAGATAAACGGTAAACCATATTGTTCGTCCGTCGAGGTGGGAAGGGGGCGGGTGGGGCGGGTGGGGCGGGGGGTGGAGGCGGCGGCGGCGGAGGGGCGATCCACCTATCGCTCGCGTCCCCTCCTCGTGACCGCCGCTGTCGTCACGCCGCCGTCCGCACGCGGTGTTCAATCGCGGGCGTACGCGGGCCGCGAATTCGCGGCTGTCGCGCGCCGAAACGAGCGGCGGCGGCGGCGGCGGCGGTAAACGGCCGGGGCACGACGCGCGCTGCGCACGAAACGCGTCCCGCCCCCGCGGCACCGGACGACGGGCGGCGTGCGCAACGTTAAACTGTACGCAACAATAAATCTTTGGGTGTGGGTATGGTTTTCGTCGCGGTCGCGCGCTCGTAAATAGAATAATGAACGCGGACCTTTATTGTGCCACGCGCTCGAGTCGAAAATCCCTGACGAAATGCGCCCGCGCGCGTCATCCAGACGGCGGCTGCGGCGACGACGACGGAAATTTAGACGACTATTATCCGTTTCCGGCGCGCACAACGATAATAATAACAAAAAATGATAATAATAATAATAATAATAAATGTAAATTATCATTGAAGGCCCCGAGCCGCGACCGACCGACCGACCGACCCGTCGCCGATGACGTTACACACACGGCGGCGGGTGTTTGTCTACATTTTTTTATTCTTTTTTTTTTTTTATCTTTCCCGTCGTTCCGAAAATTTTTTATCATATGTTGCCAGGTGCACCGGTGTCTGTACACAATGTACAGTTCAAATTTATCTAGACAAAAACAAAACCCTCGAAATCGTCCAGATGACGTTTGCAGTTAATGCAATTAACATACTAATACGGACGCAACACGCAACACGCAAATGTCCAATGCGTGGCTAGGCGTATTAAGAATATAGATTTCGTAACATTGTACACACTGATAGTACCGATTTTACGGCGGGGCGGGATCTATATAAAATACGGTATGATCACAAACGTCGGTGTTTGATAGAGATATTTCCGGGAGCAGGCGTATCGTACATATCCTATATTTCCGCGGCTCCGATAGTCTACAGCGCACCTTATCACGACGATATACTCGACGCGAGGCGTGCGAATGCGAGGGAAATCAATTTTCGCGATTTTGTTACGCGAAACCCGAGTCGCGTAGGATTTCGTGTGCTGCAGTAACCTGCACGTTAAATGTTTGCGACCGGGCCGCATTTCGACACGCTGCACCCGATTTCAGACCCGGTCGAATGTTACGCTCCGTCCGGTATGGAAAATTATGCTACAATTCAAATGTTTTATATCGTGAAATTAAGAAGAAAAAAAAAGGCGCCTTTGGGTTACGCGGTAATCGCAGAAACTGTCGGGTGTCGGGTTCGACGTAGCGTTCATTTGCGCAAATTCGTTTTTTGTCGTTTTTTTTTGTTTTTCTTTCTTTTTTCGTAAAAATACACGCATCCAATCTCCGTACGTGATTTACGCATTTCGATTTCGCTCCGGTTCGGCTCACCCCAATCGATTTTTCCCAGTTACCTATCCGACGCGGGATTACGCAACGGATCCACGGTCATTTTCGTCGAAAATCGTCTCCAGTCTGTACATTTTCATATCGTCACGCACCCGTAACGGCGACGTCCGACCGGATCCGAAACCGGGCGCGGCGTGTTAGTGTTCGCGACCGGGCCGCGTTCCCGAAAACGGTTCCGCCTTATCACTTTTCGAACGAGTGCCGTCCGCCGTACACGCGCATCGCGCGTATTATTGTGTTATCTTTAATCGTGATTGACGGTGACGCGAGCGTAACGTCACCGCCGCCGCCGCCGCCGCCGCAGCCGAATTAACGTGCGTACGGAAATATTATAATACCGTGTACTCCCAAGGCCGTAGTCGTTATTCTGACCCCACGAACAGGAAACAATTTATAACGCGACCGTGCGCTTATTTTTATTTATAATGTTCTGCGTCGCGCGGCCGCGCCAACCGCCGCGCGTGCGCGCGCGCAAGCGGTGTCCGTTACGATATTATTTTGTACAATACCTATTACAGTGCGTATAAAATACACACGCACACGCGATATGTGACGGCGGCTACGGCGCAGCAAATGGCGAACCGCGCAGTGTCGAATCGTTTACCCGTTGGTCCTTGATCCGTCGCCGGCGCGAAAAAGAACGCGCGCCATTGTGTTTATATATGTATACATGGGAAAAACTTTTATTCGCCTCCCCTCTCCGCCCCTCTCCCCCCTCTAGCCGGGCCGACGAGCACGCCGCCCGACGACATTTCCGGCACGGGGACGCGTCACGTTTTGTTTCGCTCGCTCGTGGTTTCGGCACCGCCGTCGGCAGACCCTTTTTTTTTTTTTTCCCCATATATATTTTCCCCGATATCGTTTCGCGGTCCACGACTCGGGAAACGCTATTTACTCACGTCAGCCTTGTAAAGTATTCGAGCGGAGTTATTGAAGTACGTGGATTTAAATGCATTTATAGTGTTTAGAAAACTTTTTAAATACGTTTTGAATTGAGTGTTTGGAAAGCATTTTGAATACCTGCTGTCTCGGACGTATTTGCGTTTAAATTTCAAATACTTTCGTACAAATGATTTTCTTAATTCAAGAATTGAGAATTCCGTGTTGTCATTTAATATTTATAGTTATACAATTATACATTACAATTTATGTTCCGTGATTTGGATCTTGCGATGTCGGCCTCGTTATAAAACCGAGAAGAACGGAGTAAGAAAAACGCAAATTGATGGTCGCGAAGTGACAAATGAGACAGAAATTAAACCACTTAGGCTTGACTTGCGGCCCACAAGAAACATTTTCATACTACCACTTTGAAAAAATGCATGCTGCTTTAGTGTAATACAAAATATTTGGAATGATTATAGCATGATAAATGTATAATTCCTATTTCATAACATTTGTTTTGATTCATTCAAAGTATTAAATTATTTCAGAATTAATACACAGCGAATTGTTTTTATTTTCATTGTTCAGTGTAAAATGAAATAGCTAGGTGATATGAAGTTCTGAATATAGGTACTAAAATAGTTTAACATTGAATTTTATGTTAGAAATTTCAAAATTAATTTTGCAGACCTATTTGAATTAACTATTAAGTTAAATAAGGAAAGTATTTGAGAAGTATTCAAATACAATTGTAAAAATTTGAAAAGTATTTTTTACAAGACTGACTAGGTACGTACGCTGTCGTTTGAAAATTAAAATTAAATTTACGCACCGAGTGTGAGCGGAAAAGTGGCTCGGAAGGTATAAAACTAGAATGCAGGGTTTACAAAAACTGTACGTTACAGTCGAATTTCCCATTAAACACGATTAAACATCCAAAAAACGACTTGTGTAAAACCATTACATTGTCCTTGTTTTCCTCACCCACATTATTGCGGGCGAATCATCTATTTAGAATTTAGATGCTTTTGATTTTCAAACATTGGCCTATATTAAATAAATCCACATAAATGATAAAGTTTTAGTTCAAATGCATTAACTCGTATCGACAAGATATTCCACTTTTAAGTTGGATTGGATTACTGTTCGAACGTCAAGTGCCGTGTCGTCACAAATATGATGCGTATCACACCGACATTTATTTGAACCAATACTCTGTCTATTAACGAGGTATTTCGAGGAAAATTTCACTGTAACATGAAATCTAATGGACCTTGTAAAATAAATTTATATCCATAATACGAGTATTTGTGATAAATTACACAATTGGCACACTAATAAGACTAATAAATTACAACGCATTATCCACATTAAAGTGAAGAAAACTCGACAATTCTAAATATGAATATAATTAACACAAAAAACGTCAGAATATTTTGAAAATTGCGCGATCGCGTCTAGAAAGTGTTAATTAAGTATTCGGTGAAAGTAATTGTTTCCAATTGAATTAGGTTTAAATGTACAAAAAAAAAAAAAAAAAAAACATAATTAATATAAGAAAACCGTTAGTACATAAACATTTCCGTTTTTCGACATATTTTGCCGATTTACCTCAATTATTAAGAAAACTATGAGGTAAATCAAAAAACGACCTTATAAATGCACCAAGTATCGACTCGGAATTCGGTATTAGAAACCGCATCGGAAGTGTCTAATAAATAAACATTTTTAAACGTTTCTTCTTTCTTGTTCGGTACAATAAGACAGTTTTGATAATGGAAATGTTCAACACTGCTCACTGTAGTTGATGTATGATAAATACCTATGTAGAAACCTATGGATTTTATTTTTAGTGATGGTATTTTTGGTATAAGTCAATCAAAATTCTGAATTATTATTTTTTATCCGATTTCGCCGTATATTTTATACTCGTCGCATTATTACAGATTGTATCTATATATGTATATATATATTATTTTTTATAGAAAAATGTACAATCTGTATTTTAAACACAATAAGTAAAAGTGATTACTGTACACATACACGTACATAATAATAACTATGTTTAAATTAGAATTCCTCTCGTTTCCACATTTTCACATTGCTTGTGTCCGTTTGCAACGAATTGTAATGCTTATGTCGGTAACTAACGATAAGTAACAAGTAAAACGTTTAAGCAATATTAAATATTTATCAGAACATTTTTAAAAGTATAGACTACGGTTACGATTTGAACTGTTGCTAAAATAATTAAAACGTATAAACTATTATTATCTTATTACCAACTATTTTTTTTTTTTTTTTACACGCAGTAACATATTATTTTATACGATATAAGAGAATACGTACAATATAATTTACATAAATATACAGAGTAATTTAAAAAATTGGAGCATATGCCTAACCGAAAAATGATTGGGAATTTCGAAAATCTTTTTAGAAAATTCAGTACCGTCGGGCAATTGATCCGCATCTATGTATGACGTGGAAAAGCGTTTTCACCGACCGTAAAAACGTTTTCCGAGGCGAGATAAACAGCCTTGTAAAAACCACAGTAATTTCGTCGTCATAGTCGGGCACTCGGAGTCTGTAAATGTATAAAATCGAACGATCGCGACCAGCGAAACACCGTTTGTGTTGGTATTGTTCCGTCGATCGAACAACGCAATATTCGAGTGCCGCCCGTAGACGGAATTCGATCGTATAATTCTTCGATTATAGTTTTTATTATTATTTTTTAATTTTTTTTTTTTTTTTCATTTGCCGTCCACTGCAAATAACGACCGACCGACCGACCGACCGAACGTCGGACCTCTCGCCGTGTATATTTCATACTTCCGCGCGAAATAAAGTCTTTAAACATCACGCCGCGTAATGCGCATAATACCCGTGCGGCGCGGTTCCCGACCGAACATTAACAGTAGTGTAATTATTACGGTCCCGGTATTCGAGTAGCGTCAATTACACGCGAATGACTAATGCCGTTTACGGTTTTCGTTTTTCGCCGACAACGCGAACGCTTTCCGACGCGCCGTTACCGCCGTTGTTTTGACGACGCAGTGCGCGTCGCGGGGCCAAAAGCACACGGGGTTTTTCTCTTTACGCCGGACGACGCGCCGCTTGGCCACCGTCATCCGCGGAGCGGCGAGTCCGTCATTCACCGCGCGGCGGATTCGCGGAAAACGACGCGTTTGAAATGAAAACGAATTTGCCGCGGAGAGCCGGTGTTTTAGCTGCTCCATCCGAGTTGAACCGCGATATTTACGCGTGACAATATGCCGCCGGGGCGCACTTTCACTCCGACGGTTTTCGCGAACCGGCCGCTGTTATATGCCGCGGAAAACCCCCGAAGCCTCCGCGAACGACCGCTGCGCGTCCCCGTAGCGACTGATACGGTTACGAAACAGTTGCACAGAAATTCACTTACAGATTCGCAATTCGACCGGCCTCGCGTGTTACGGACAAGACGGACGTCATATTATTATGCTCGATGTTCTTTTTGAAACTCGAATTGGCGTTCGTATCCCTACCGGAGAATATAAACGATTGTACTTGTTCGCGTCTGTTTTCGATCGTTTTCCCGCGACCTACTCTGTACGCCGCGCGGTCAATTCAATTTGATAATCTCGCGTGAAACACATTTCTGTACGCGATCCAACAAACGCGATTTGTTTAGTGGCAGATTCGGGAGTCGGCTCTCCTACTCTTGGACTTCAACATGTTTATTGTAAGTCAAATCGCGCAGGTATATCAAAGGTCATAATTGAGGGCGGAAAGGGGATAGGGGATTACCAGTGGTGTACGTTCGAACATGAAAATACGAGTGTTTACAGTGTCCCGTGAATATATATATATACCCATCGCGATATCTCCTGGGTTAATAAAGATAGTAAAATTCGATCGTTTAACTTGAAATATAACTCAAAGAGATAAAAACTAGACATATTTATATATAAATAAGATTATTGTTGTTTTTGTTGACAATTGTAAACAATTATTTTATTTTGTTATCATATAAGCGTAGTTATTTTATAGAGTTTATTTTTTTGAAAATGTTAACGTTTAACTTTTCGTTTTTTTTTTTTTTAGTTCGGAGAAAAATAGTGAATAATTATCTAATAATAGTGTTTTTTCAGATTATCTTATCTCGTTTTCTGATCGATTTTGTTTATCGAAATACTATTATGTTTAATACAATATCTTTCTGTCAACTAAAATAAATATTAAAGATCACGAGGTTAATGAAAATAAAACGTTAAAAAAATCGAAATTTTCAGAATAATTAAATAATATAACGTTAAAATGTGTCCAAAATAATGGAATCAATATATAATTTTTAATTTTTCATCAAAACATGTAAAAATTTAATTTTTTTTCCTTTCATATAAAAAAAAAAAAAAAAAAAACAACTTGATTTTCTCTTCATTACTTATCAGTATCTTTTGATCTTCTGATGTATGTATCTCCGTGAAACACTCTGCACAATAAATTATATACATTTTGGAACTCCCTTCTCGGAAATATGTTTTCAGTACGGTCCTGTAAATAAATGATACAAATTCGTCTCAATCGGAGCGTCATTTTCGGCACCGGATTCTTTTGAGTGTCTGCCCATGTAATTAATAATTTTTTTTAAAGACAGCCAATAAGCGACAAGCGGTTTTACAAATCGTTTCCGTTTTTATCGGCATCACTATTTATTAAAACGTACTTATTGGTACTCGGTATTAAAAAAATTGAAGTACGTACGTAGGTATATTATGATATACGTAGATAGTTTTTAATTTTTTTTTTTAATAGGTATAACCATTGACGCTCGGGAGACGTAATAATATTATCGTATACGGTGAGTGGTGTGTCCCTTTACATAGTGCACCGATAAATTTCCGTGGGACTACTGCGGTACTTTTAATATTTTATATTGTTTCGTTGTATACGTGCGTATACACATTTTGGGACAATGCAATTATTCTCGACGATTTTCAATTGTATTATTTTATTTACCGGTAATCCACAGTAATAATATTATCGATTTTTATTGCAAACATTTTGTTGCGCCACATTTAAGCCAGGTTAATGCGTTCATAGTTAGTGTTGCGAGTTTGCGACCATCACGGGCGTTGTACCAATTGTGGTTTTCGTAATAAAAAAAATCGCAGGGTATAAGCTCATTTACGAATTTGAGCAGCGAATATTGTGAATATATAAGTAAAAAAGACATCTTAGAATAATAATGGAAACGGGTGCAGCCACTGTTATAGGTAATTTAACGTATATCTATAAGCAACAGTGCTTCGCTTCGCGGATGACATAGTCGTTCTTGCAACATCTAAGGAAGACTTACAAGCAGCATTAAATGCAATGAAAATTACGTTCAAAGAATACAGTCTGAAAATAAATGTAGCCAAGACCAAAACCTTGTAGTACGCTACAAGAAAAACATACCATCTATAAATATAACATTAGAAAACAAAGAAATTACCCGAGTAGACTATTTCAAATACCTAGGCAGCATTATAACAGACGACGGGAAATCAATTAAAGAAATCAGAAGCCGGATATGTCAAGCAAAGAATACATTCCTCAAAAAGTGAAAATTACTAACATCAAAAAATATGAACATAGTAACGAAGAAACGGCTCTTAAAAACATACGTCTGGAGTGTGGCATTATACGGAAGTGAGACCTCAAATAACTCAAAAATGTCTAAAGTTTTAAAAATTTTACCGTGTCTAGAAAAGGAAAATATAAGTTTTCTATCCAAATTTCAAGTCTATACAATAAAATTGAAAAATAACAAAACCATTATTTTCATAAATTGTCAGTGTTTCTTACGTTTTATACTGGTTTTTCCCGAATATTATGAAAACCGATTGGAAAATCAAAACATGACCTCTTAAAAGTACCATCTGGATAAAATTCCCTTTCAGAAATGGTGCCGCGAGTGTATATCTGAGCAAGATTTTTGGTTGATTTTTTGTACCCAACATGAAAAAAATAATAATAAAAAATAAACATTTTAGTAAAATCAATACGTTCTTCGGTACACTCAGAATCTAAAACTAAAAGCCGATCGCTTCGCTCGCAAAAATCTATTTGCAAGATTCTTACATAATAGTACATTTACATATTCGCAAACTATAAAAAATTAACTGTTTTGCTACCCATTTTATTACGTTGTTATTTATGTACATATTTATTATACCTAAGTATTTAAAACTATTTTACAGATAAGATTCAACTTAATAATTGTTTTAAATAATTGATTTTCCTATTAAATTGAAGCTAATAAAATAATAAACGCATCCAATAAAAAACTAACATAATATTAATTGATATTATTGATGTTCGTATAACGAATGCGACAAATGAAGTCATAAAATGTATTCGAACAACGTTCAAGTTTTAAAAATGGTTTTTTCTTTTTAAAACCTTTTTACAAAAGTATTAAAAAAAAAAAAAAAAAAAATCTCGGGAGGAATTTATTATTGATAAGAACATTCGCCAGGTTTGACAATAGTAACAGACAGTAGTTGTTTTTCTTTGTAGATATGTATTACTTATTTTATCAAAACAAAAAAAAAAAAACTGCAATAATCACGGTCACGATGATTAACTATACGTTTATAATAATACGTAGTAATAGCCAATCTTAATTATTCATTACACAGTTCTAATCAATAGTTAGATAATTGATAAATGTCATAATATAATAAATAATTCTATAGAATACAGATCGTTTAAATATGTAAATTACACGGCGTGTACAGGCTGTATGCCCATTTTCATTTTTTGCACAGTGTATAAGCTGTAATACTTTACCAGATGGTAAATGAGTATACAATTTACACCCGGAGTTTGAACTCGTGAATTTTTTATACCGTGAAAAATTGAATTTTTTATTACTATATGGTCTTGTTATCTACTATTTATCTATGATAATTGATATATATTTAATTACTTGTAGGCTATATAGGTAATAGTTAAATATATATTCATCTAAATTATATTCCATATTCGGGCCCCGATTAACCAATAGGCTGAATAGGCTGCAGCCTAAGGCGCCGTTAAACGGTAGGGGGTGCGACAAAACAATTTTTTTCCAACTTGTTTCTTCTATTTTGATCTATTTTATCTATTATAGAAAAATTAATTTAGGGAGAGGAAAAATAAAGAGGTCATCGCCAAACCAATCTCAGCCAGTGGAAAATCCATTAATCAGGCCCTAGTCATATTATCGTCTAAAACATGGCTACGTGGCTCCATATAATATCATCTGTATAGAAGTATTTTAGAATACTTCTATATATATATACTAATATAAGTATATATAACCATATTATTTTCACCCGAAAACCATATAATGCAGACATCTATTGTAATGCAAGTTTTCTGTTTGATATTATATAATTTAAACATACGTGTAAGTTCACTGTTAAAATAAAAAAATTAAATATCTTTATTAATCACCAACGATAAATGCAAGCAGGTAAAAAATAAAAACAAAATAATGATTTAAAAAAAAAAAAAAAACATGTTTTATTAAAACACTGAAATATCTTCCAGATTTGAAATATTTCAACATTTCACATTTCACGAAATTTCCACGTAATGTATACCCATTTGTTTTTAATTTTAATTATTTTCATCATAAGTAAAATACTTTAAATAAATTGTTGAATTTTTATTTTTCAAAAATACAATCAAAATATCTGTTTAATTTCGAATTTCATTGAAAAAGATTAAATGCCTGTTTACAACAAAAACTAGGAAAGAACCTGGTGGAGCATATAATCCATTTTCATAATTGAAATTCGTGAAGCGCAATTCTTGATGTTTTTGTCCGGCTTTTACGTCTAGACCGACTGAAATATACGATACAATTATCGTGACACATATCTATTCAATAAAAATCGTTTACCAACAAAAATTTAAAACAAAACACGCATTGTATTGCTCTAATTGATATTATAATATTATATTATGTGATACTTATTGCGATAACATTAATGTGATAAATTTACGAACTATTAACGCGTATAACTATACCGATAAAACCTAAAAAGCCATATTATGTGTGCATAATCTGCATATATACAATATTATATGCGTGATATCCGTTCGATTTTCCTACATTGATATCGTAGGACAAAGATCGTCGGATCAAAAATATTTAACGAACGACCCGACCTATGAAAAGATGTATTAATAATTTAATCAGCAAAACTATTTTTGTTCTATTCTATTTAAAAATAGAAACGAGAAATAAAAAACGAATGGAGTTTAATCTTTGAATGTCATTCATTCGTTATCCGATTATCGATTTTTTTTTTTTTTATATATATTTATAGTCTGTAGTTATATTATAAAACAGTTCGATATATTTATTAAATGTTTTCTTTTTATTCATATTTTATATTTTATATTAAACTGCCAATCGATTTGAAAACAAATATTATAATCAAACGACCGCATCGTTAATTGTACTGCAGGCTTTTTAACATTTTGTAAAATAAAATACAATGCAGCTCTGTCAGTAGGGGCCGCGGAATCTGCGAAGCGTACTGCGAATTTAATTTTTTAATTTTCGTATATAAATTATTATTGTTATTCATCGCGATTTAAAACTAACGTATATAGAAATTAATTTTGAACCAAACGAAAACTCACCAAATTTCTCCTGCGTGTTCGAGGCACCCAGAAATCAGATTACACACAAGTTTTGATAAAATTAAATTTAAAAAAATTGTTCTTTCTTTTTTTAACGGATTTGAACGTAAATTTTAATTTAAAACGTTGATAAAAAAAATCAATTGCACAATTTTTTTCACATTAATATTTTTCAAAATATTTCAGAAAAACGGCTAAAATGTAAAAGTGTTGAATATAAATACAAAAAATGTTGAGGGGGCCAACTTCACTGTGGCC